AAGGCTGCAGCTTGACCTGCTGCCGCGTACGCCCTGCTATTCAAACGAGATGTATCCTGAAGGGGTTTGGACGGCAGGGAGGGATAGCACTAGCCGCTGGTTCAGACTATGTAAGAGAGATAGCATCGTCATCCAGTAGCTCACTCTTGTCCGTGACTGATGAGCACGAAAGGGAAAGACCCTTTTTCAACTCATCAGTCAGGTCCATCTGCGATCCCCATGAGCTCATTTTCCTCCGTGCCTCAGCAGCGGAGGGTCCTAAACCACGGGGAGCTGATGGCTCACAAACGAGACAAACGAGAGCGGAGCTTTCATAGGAAAAAGCTCACAGTGCACGCAAACTGCCCCCTCGAGGCCATCGCACGCGTGCTCTTCGCTCAAACAAAAGACGCAAAGATTGTGTGTGTCATCAGGTGTCAAATAATGAGGACATGGATCCACACACTTCTTAAACGTCTTACTAGTGCTCGCCATGGTAAAGAAGAATAATCGTTCTTACCGGAAATGTACGCTTCAAACAAAACAGTCCTTGAAGACGAAGAAGAGGATGACGTGTTCTCCTGGCACCCTTTTATACTGTGGTCGCACCGGGTGATGACGTCACAGGCTGTCACCGGCCAATGTTATTGTCGTGTTTAGATGTATGCTTCAGACACCAGTCACGCTGAAGGCGTTCCTCAAAACGACCTCTAGAGGACTCAATTCTAAGTTCCCTTTGGAAGGGAACTAAAACTGAACTAAGATGGAAATTAAAAATAATTAGAATAATTAGAAAAAGAAAAAAAATGAAAATAACAAAATTACTAAAAATGAAACTAAAATTAAAATGAAAACTGAAAATATAAAAGGTTATTTTAAAATATTAATAAAAGCAATATTATTACATAACACTGATATAAAATAAATGTTAAAATCTGTACCTGTAGTTGATGAAACACACACTAAACATTTCTATGTGTTTTGTCAATTTACAGTATAATCATGGATAATATTTGTATATATAATAATGTAATACAATATAATAAAAATAATGAAATATAATAATAATACAAATATAATAAATATAATAATAACACTTGAATTTTCATCTTACACAGTATTACTTGTATAATTTATTCCAATTAAATGACAGTTGTATACTGTGACTTTGCAGTGAACAGAACCGGGAATGCTGAAGAATCACAATGATCATATGATTTTTTTTTTTATTACAGTGATCTCTTCTAAATCTACAGAACAACTGATATGCTGAGATGTCCACAGTACTATGCTGGCTTTAGCTTCCCAGCATGCACTAGGGCATAAATAAATGATGTTGTTGAATTTTTAACTATTTGTTGGGCGATTCGGCTGTTGCTGTCATTGTATTCACTTTAGGTTACTTGTTTTGTAATGTTCAGAGTTTATTTTGATTGTCACCATGTGCAACAGTATTTCTCAAAACTCATTATTTCCCTTTCTGTTCATACAAGTTTACTTTAACATTCCATATTGCCGAATATAATATAAACTGAGAGAGTTAAGAGCTAATCATAATGTCTGGCTTCTTGTCTCTATGTAAAACAATGCAACGCATTGTATTCTGTAACACAATTACACTGGATGGGAGAAAATTAATTAAAAGTTAAGAACTTCTCAGCTAAAGGGAATGTTAATTATCATAATGAAAAAGAACACAACTATTTATACTATTATCTCGCAATACAGTGCGGTTATCTTTTTTTCCACAGTGTTTTGTCATGTTAGGACAGAAAATGGTGCTGATTTCACTTTAAAATTCAGAAAATTAGGGTTCAATCTTTGTAAAAATCCTGACGTTTTTTAAGAGTGTGGGTGCAGAGAGTGTGTATGTGTGTGTGTGTGTGGGAGCGTGTGGGGGAGGATTTTAACTAGAACTCCCAAATCCAATTTTAGGTGCATATCTAGAGGGTCGACCTCAAATGCAAACAGCGATCCCCCCGCCATCTAGCCTTCTACCCTTTTCCCTTCACATTGACACCAGACAGCACCCCTCCCCCCAGACCCTGCTGGACAGCCCCCAAAACCCCCTCCGTCCCACCAGCAGCACCACAACACTATATGAAAAAGAATATGAGCAGGCATGAATTTTAATGCAGTTGCTCATCTCAGCCAAGCAGCCTCACTTCTGCAGTGGAAATAAATAAAGAAGGGAAAAAATACAGAGAACTGATAGATGAATCTTAAATCAAAAGGAGATAGAGCGAAAAGCATAGGCAGAAAGACAAGGGAGATGGGGGAAAAAGAGAGAAAAGGCGTAGAAAGGAGAAAGACGGAGAGCGAGAATGAGAGGTGAAATCTCATCTCTTGGCTGAATAATCTGTCATTCATCAAACTGATAGAACAGAGAGAGGTAGAACAGCCGTAAAACCAAATAAAGGCAGAGGATGGGAATTTCGGATTTGGTCTGGCTCCAATTCTCCATCTTGAGTTGGACGGCTCTAGCTATCATGCCTACATCTACATCTTTCTCTTTTGGTCTAAATATTGCATGAATAATGCATGGGTCTACGTTTCATTAAAACCTCTCTTATTAATAATATTGCTCGTGGTGGAGTAGGGGAAACGTACCATCCTGCAGCCGCTCACGTTTGCGTTCTGTCTGAAAATCCTGCAAAATTTTACCACTAATATTCGGCGCTAACCAGCTTTGGAATCAAAAAGCCAGTGGCGGTAAGAGGTAAACAGAGCGATGGGCAGGTCATTTCAGCCAAGCACTCAGCCAGATAACTCTGGGAGGCAAATGGGCATGATTTCACAAGGACACTGCAATGAGGTCACCGTTACCTTGTCTTTGTCAGGAAAAAAAGGATATAGACTGAACACAACAAAGCCATAAACAAGGAGTGGAAGATCTCGATACTGATACATGACTTAAGTATGATACAGTGTGCACTGCAGTGAAAAAAAAAAAAACATTTTCCTAATCAGTATGTTTGTCTTTTTGTACCAGTAAAAATATCAAAACTAAAAATTCATGAAACAAGATCAATTTTACTTGTGCAGCAAAACTGTGTAAGACTTATTTTCAAAGAATATATAATGTTTTAAGCATAAACTACCATTCAGAAGTTTGAGGTCAATACTTTTTTAAAGGAAATAAAAATACTTTTATTCAGCAAGGACACATTAAACTGATCAAAAGTGATAGTAAAATTCTATTTCAAATAATCTTTCTATTCATCAAAGAATCTTAAAAAATTGATCAAATAAATGCAGCATTGGGAACACAAGAGAAAAAAAACAAAAAAAATCTTACCTACCCCCACCTTTTGAACAGTAGTGTATATAAAATATTGTGATAAATATTATTATTATTTGAAAAAATTACTATTTGATATGTTCAAATAGAAAAGTTGTTTTTAATTATAGTAAAAAAATATGCTGTTTTACTGTATTCTTGATCAATTAAATTTCACTTTGGTGAGCAAAAAAATAAAATAAAATAAATTCTTACTGACCCCAAACTTTGAACGGCAGTGTAAATATCACTGAATTCTGTTAGATTTATGCTTAAAAATTGCATAAAATGAGGTAAAAAAAAAAATACATGTAATTTAAGAAATGCTGTATATGACACATCAGGTAAATGTATTTGGTTGTCAGGACATTTTTTCTGGAAAATGACAAATTACCGATTACAAAAACTGCAGTGTGGCTCCTTATAGTAATGCATGTGTGAGATGATTAATACCCTTTTCCACCAAAATGGTGCTGGTGCTCAGGGACGTCGCTCAGAATTGTACCACATTTTTACTTCAGAGCCAAATGATGAAATAACTGTTACTACATAACCAAGTCTTTTTTCAGACAGCTTCATCCAGATGGCATCCATTTTACAGAGGCAAAAAACACACACATTAAATCCAATGTTTTTAAAATGCATCACAGTCCATTGGATTTCAAATCATTGCTATTTTTGTCATCGGCCGTTCTGTGCATGTAACATTTTTACACACGAGTCAGCAGTTTTGGACACAGTATATGCATGAATGTGTAAAACATGCCTCGTGACTTGTGAAGACATGAACAGAAGTAAAAAGTTAAATTTTCCACATTGACAGCTATTCTTCGTTGTTCTATAAGAAAGTCTCCTGGCATCACGCCGACTCATTATATCATAACTATAGCAGCTGATGTGGATATGGATATTGACAACAGTGTCTCCACAAACGGATCCAAATTCATCAATTGCGAAATGACAGTACGATCACCGAATCCAAATCGGATTTGTGTGCAGTGTGAACACAAGCTTTGTTTAGAAGTCTTTTACTTGTGGTAATTACCATAATTACAAGATGACAAGTCGCAGATTCTACTGTGTTAACGTCTTCAGAACCAGATACTCGTTTCTATGTGTCTATGGAAACCCACAGAATATAATGCTAAATGGATCCAGGCGTTGTTGTTGATGACAAAATACTTAATAACGACGTTAATTCACCACAAGAACAAAGAAAGAAGAAAACTGTTACTATTATAGGAGTTCAGTATAAAAAGAATAAAATTCATCAATTCACACATATTTGTAAATAAAATCTTTTTATTTCAGACAGATGGGGAAATAAAGTGGCTGGAGTAGTTGTGCAGCACAACTGAAGTAGGAACAAGAGGACAAAACAGGGTGTCAACTGCTGCATTGCGCACTTCCAGTCAGCTCTGTTGATTAGAATGAACGATTTAGTTCGGTCATGAGTAGTTTTGTAAACTTTAAGTGAATGCCGCCCCTGGTTCCTGGCGATAACGGTGCCTGGTTTAAGACCAGCAGGATTATGAGGCCGAGTCAATTTGGTCCAGGCCAGAAGCACCTTTAATTCATTGGAAATGCGTGGAACAGGGCTAGATTGGACAGTGGCTCCAGCACCAGCAACGGGGTCAGTGGAAAAGGGGTATGAGAGTGGGTGAGTTGTGTTAGAATAGTGGTACTCTGTGGGTTGTGGTATGAGTGTGTAATCCATGGCTGATGCTGATGCTGGGCTCACGTTTGTGGTTGTTCTTGCGCTGGAAGGGCAGTGTGTGCCGTTCGGAGTCTTCCTCACCCTCCTCGTCTGCCAGGTGTGTGTGAGTGTAATGGTAACTCAAACCTGGACGGTTCTTGTAGCGCTTCCCACAAACTAAACACAAAGAAAAATACACGAGGAAATAAAAAGAGTTGAATTGTTTAGTTTATAGTTCGGTTAAGCTTGTCATAAAAATAATTATTATTATCATTATTATTATTTAATTTACCATCAACAATTAAAATACATTTTACAATAGAATAAATACAGTTAATTTTATTTTAATTCAAAAACTAAAATTATTCGTAAATATTATATTTGTATAGTAATAGTTATTACATGAGTGTTGTTGTTGTTATTATTATTATTATTATTAGTTATACTGTTATTGTTAATGTTTACTATCAATCACTATTTTAATTCATTTAATTTTCTTAAATATTATTAATTTTTTAAATAAAAAAATCTATTTTAAATAATCTTTCTATTCCTCAGAGAATCCTGAAAAAAATAATATATTACCATTTCCACAACAATATTATGCAACACAACTGTTTTCAACATTGATTCCAATAATAAATGTTTCTTGAGCAGTAAATCATATCAGAATGTTTTCTGAAGGATCATGTGACACTGAAGACTGGAGTAATGATGCTGAAACTTCCTCTTTGCATCACAGGAATAAATTATATTTAAAATATATTCAAATAGAAAACAGTTATTTTACATTGGAATAATATTTCACATTATTGTTAGTATTATTAAGTAATTAAGTAATTTTGATTAATTTATTTTTATAATTTAAGAATTCAAATTAATTTGATTTGAATTCCATATATAGTATTATATTATATATAGTATTGTATTTGTATAATACTAGTTAATATATACATATTCTTATTCTTCTTCTTATTATTATTATTAGTAGTAGTAGTAGTAGTAGTAGTAGTAGAAGTATTTTTAATTATACTGTTATTGTTAATATTTACTCTGTCATTATTTTAATTAAATTAATTTTACAATTTAACAATTAAAATTAATTACATTTTAAATTAATTAAATCAAATTAATTTATAATTAAAAGTATTATGTTTGTATAATAATATTTAGTAAATAAATATTTTATCTATTCGCATTCATGTATATAAACATTTCCACCATTATTGTCCATGAGAACAGCAGGGAATGTTGTCACACTGTGCAGGATAACTCGATACAATGAAACTTGACATTAAACATCCCATTATCAGGAGGACTGCATGTTTATATGGCTATATGGTCCTCTGTTGCTAGTTCTACTATTCATTTCCCCATGCTGTGTTTAATAATGACTGTAGAAATCTATTCTGTGTTCTTTTGTTTATTTGCGCATGATACTCACTGTCACACACATATGGCTTGTCTCGATCCTCTAGGGATGCTGGTTCCTGTCTCTTTCTCATCCCCCCAACACCACATGCCTGGACACATCAAAAATCGCATGTAAACACACACAGATTCATTTTCAGTTGGCAACCAGTCTATTTTACACAGGTGCAGCTAGAAGCATTGTTATTTTGGCCTTGCAGATCCCCCATCCCACTTCCTCCTTCAAGCTTTAAGCAAATCCTCTTACACAGCATTAATTACACCTAGCACACAATTATCACAGCATCTCTTCCACACACTGCCGGATAACTATGTGGGGCGTGAGAGATCTTAGAGGAAGTAGTGTGCCCCAATTAACAGCACAGAAGGTGAGAGATTCTAGGGACTGAATCGAAGACATTCTGTTTGCTATCCTTATATGTATTTTTTCTGCTAGACTTGACTACTAAAACTTGCATGCATTTCTGTCAGGGTTGTGCACCATACATTGCCATATACTGTATATAGTTAATTCATTTAATTTGCTTTTAATTTTTAATTTTCATTTAATTTTGCTCCAGTTTCTGCATGGACAAGTATTGATTTATCAAGTACATTTGTGTAAAATTCATCTTATTTCACCTGTGAACCTTGTATCTCAACAAAAACAGCTATTTTGTAAAGTCTTCCTTCTTCAGGCTGTGGTTATTTCATGCCTTGAATGCATTTCTGTACAGAACCACTTACGATTCCAGCCTTTCATGTATGTGGGGTTATAATTACAGATGAACTTAGCCATGTTTTCAGTGTGTTATCATCACACATCAGGTGTTGTCTTTAAAGTGGTATTAAAGGAGGTTTTTCACGGCTGTTCGGAAGGAGCTGCTTTGAATCAACACAAAGCCAGTGGAACGCAATGATGAAAGCTACGCAGGGATCAAACCTGGAGATGTGCTAAACAGCCATAATGGATCAATGGCTGATGAGCTACAATGGCCAGCTTTGTTCAGACAGCAGCCTTGAAGAAACAGGAATCCTAGATTAAACAAAGAACCTGGAGGGCTCACTGCAAACCTGTGATATAATAATACAAAGCTTGGGTTGCGGATCTAATTGCTACCAAGAGCAGAGGTTCTCAAATGGTCAGTTGCAACCCAAAAACTTTAACATGTTTGATTTGACAGCAGGAAACAAAGCAATACTGAATGTAAATAATAAAATGTTTCTGACCATATAATATTGCATAGTTATGAGAGCAATATCACTTATCAACTTATCAACAAGAAATACATCGTCAAACTCTAGAAAATCCATCTAATCGCATCGAGAACATTAAAGGTACACAAATTTATGACCCAGACCCATATACTTTTGGCTCAGCACTTGATTGCCAATGTTGAAATGAGTTTTGAAGCAAAACCAGTTGAGTCTTGTGAGTAATCAGCCTACAAAATTGTATGATTCACTCTAGTATTAGTATGATTCATACTAATTAATTAGTGACTGCAGAACACGTTATAGCTGCATGTGTTTTACCCGTCCTTTGGTGCGATTCTTGCGTTTGGGAACATCCTCCTCCATCTCATCCATGTCCAACTCGTGAGGAAAATCTCCCACCAGCAGCTTCTGTGACCACAAGGAAAGACCAGCACGTATGAGTCAGCAGTACTGTATGAACAACACTAGAATGTCAAACAAACAGGAAAGACGAGTGGGAGAATAACAGACCCTAAGATAAACCATATGGAAAATATGCTTTATATAAGTTAACAATAAACATTAGCTTGTAATGGTATTAAGCAATTCATGCAGGTTTACCCTGCAGACACAGGGTTAGAGCTGCTTTAAAAAACACAATGTCATGTCCGATGTAGACATGGCATAACCCTAAGTATAAGAAATACTAAAGGTGCTGTCACATGTGTTTGGTGAATTTTCGTAGGTGAAATCCAGCCATTTCAAAAAGAAGACAAATTCGCTGCGTTGACCATCAGAAAGCTGCTTGGTTTGTGACTTTAGTGTGAGTTGTGCTTCATGCATGGCAACAGTATTTGCGATGTATGAACTGCGTTATTGGATTTCAATTGAAGTATATTGGGGCCTTAGCTGTCTTTGTTCGAAATGATGTCAAACAAGTTCATTCTTCGATTTCACTTATATCGGAGTGTTAGCTGTTTTTGTTCTCCAGTGTGTTCATGTTTGTACTTGTGTCTGCACCGAAGAAGATTTCCACAAACCACACCAACTTATTATGTAAGCGATAACATAATAGGTTGGTGTGGTTTGTGGCTTCGCTTTATTTGCACTGACCAATGGTAGTTCGAAAGTGATTGCTAGCCAGAGTAATCTTTCCTGGCAAGCTGTTTCAAAATCCTGAAAACAAATATAATTTTGGCCTGTTTTTATTTTTGTTCGAAATAAAATCACACTAGTTGATTCTTTGATTTCAATTTATGGCTACGTTTACACTTGTCGTTTTCCTTTTAAAACACATAACTTTGGCTACGGTTACGCTTGTCGTTTACACTACTTCAATATTTTCGACCCACGTAGATGCGTCCGCCATCTAAATAATAGGGAATCTACCTATACATATCTATAGGTTGTGTAGTGTAGATGGAGATTGTTTCTGAAAGGCAGTGAAAAAGCCAGTGTAGACGAGGATCGTTTTAAAACAGCGTTTTAAAATGAAAACGCACTAGTGTAAACGTAGCCTAAGTATGTAGGGGTCTTGGCTGTTTTTGTTCGAAATTACATCACACCAGTTCGTTCTTCTATTTCGACTGAAGTATATCAGAGCCTTAGCTACTTTTGTTTGAAATGATGTCATACTGTTTCTTTCTTTAATTTTAATTGAAGTGTATCAGGGCATTAGCTGTTTTTGTCCAAAATGACATCACACCAGTTCGTTCTTCGATTTAGCTTAAAGTGCCCCTATTATGCATTTTTAAGGTTGCTAATATTGTTTTATGAGACTCCTAAAACAGGTTTACATGCATGCAAGGTCAAAAAACACATTAGTTTCCTCAAAAAATAGATTTAATTTTACCTCATTGCTAAATGATTCGTAAACAACTCGTGCGAAGCAGTTCAAAGAATCAGTCTCTCTAAACCCTGTTGAATTGATTCGCAAGCACGACTGGAACAGGACGTTTCTCAGTGGTAAGTGTCAAGTTTGTGGTAATTATAAGATGTGATAAAACAAATTTACTCTCACAGCGAAGGATACAGCGTCTTCTCGACTTGATGTTAACCACACGGAAATTTACTTGGGCAAGTTGGCGATGTAGAACGTGGGCAGACATTATGCAAATGTGTTACTTCGTGACGTAGAGCCGTAACAGAATAAGATTCGAATTCCTGACGACTCGTTTAGGCGATTGCGAGCTGACTCTTTTTTTTGATAGACAATAACTTTATTTATCGTGCACTGTCAGCTTCACAACTTTGCAGATAGTTTATGTTCACATACAGCTACATGACACACTGCATGAAAGGTAATATTCGAAAAGGCATAATAGGGGCACTTTAAAGTACATCAGGGCTTTAGCTGTTAGCCGTTTTTGTTCGAAATAGTGTCACACCAGCTAGTTCTTCGATTTCGTTTGAAGTATATTGTGGCCTTGCTGTTTTTGTTTTTTTTTCCTCCAAATGACATCACACCAGCTCGTTCTTCTGTTTCGCCTGGAGTATTTTGGGGCATTGACTGTTTTTTTTTAAATGACATCATACTAGTGCGTTCTTCGATTTTGCTTGAAGTATATTGAGGCCTTAGCTGTTTTTTTTAAATGACGTCACACCAGTTTGTTCTTTGATTTCACTTGAAGTATATCGAGGCCTTAACTGTGATGATTGCCTAGCAAGTGAACAACTGTAAGCACACTCATAAAATGTGGCTGTGGGAAGTGAACAGCGGTAGCAGGGAGGCGCACAGCTTTTTAACTCCTGCTGGGGCCTGAGGCGAAGCAAGCAGCAGGATCACAGGTCCGCTCCCAGGGGACGAAGCGCTCTAAAGAGTGACTCTTAATTGAAGTGCTAATTGGTTAACTGTCCACCCCTGGGATAGATGTCATGTTGTGTGCAAAACAGTGAGGGTGGTGACACTAGTGACAGCTCCATCGACTGACAGGCGGGTTCATTAGGATCTATAAGCATTCACACATCAACATGATCAAATGTAAGTACCTGTAAACCCCGAGACGTTGAAAATGAGCAACCGCACTCCACAAAATCAATACAACAACTTTGTCAAACGTACTGACATAGACACACACACAATAACAAAAATACACTCACAAACATAGACACTTTGTGGTTAACAAGGAAGTCTGCCAGTGGGGGCGTGTCAGCCCTGCAGGGATTTGTGTTACTGCCAAAAAGAGACACAAGTACTACAGAGAAGTCATAAGGGGAGAGAGAGGAAGGGAGAGGAAGACGGCAATAAAAAGCAGAAAGAAATGCTGAATGGAGTGGTGGGAAGACCGTTTTGGGTACCAAAAACAACACATGGCGACAGTGTCTTAGTGTGTACTTTAGTGTGTACTTCAGGGCAGAGTGTGTAAAACCACTCTTTATCTAGTTAACTACTGAGTGGGAGCAAACCATTCTAGGGGGAGCAAACCACAGTTGAGGAATCTTTCTTACCTGGCATTCACTCATGGGTTCCTCCTCCTTTGTTTCAACCTTCTTATCCAGCAGTTCTCCACTGAGGAGTGACTCCAGAACGGGACCCTCAGGAACACCCCCTTCCTTCTTTAGTGCTGCTTCATAGTCTGGACACACACCTCAAACAATTGTCACACCAAGACATTTCTAGACAACTCATAAAAGACTAGGCCAGACAGTGTTTCTGTCATTTGTTTAAAGTCTTCAAGTAAAGAAAATGATCAAAGATTGCATGTAAAACCATAAGCGGTCTCACACAAAACCTGTAATTTGATGAGAATTTAGACACTTGTAGAAGCTATAGCAAAGCAATGAATTCAGTAAAAACACTCTTGAAAAAACAATGTATCTTATGTATTTCTGTTCAAACTGTGTATTTACAAGATTACCCTGTTGAAAAAACAGCATATGCTGGTTAGTTATGTTTTAAATAATGGCAGCTGGTTATGAGCTGGTTTAAGCTGGTCATGTGCTGGTCCTAAGCATCTGCTCAGCTCATAACCAGCTCATGACCAACTAAGGACCAGCTTAAACCAGCTCAAACCAGCTATCATGCTTCAAAACATACCTAGCATATGCTGTTTTTTTCAGCAGGGTTACACAACCCAGTGTCTTAAAAAAGGGTGTATTAAATTGATCAAAAGTGGCTGTAAATACATTTATAATGTTACAAAAATGGTTTCCACAAAAATATTACACAGCACAGCTGTTTACAACATTGATTAATAAAAAAAAGTTTCTTCAGAAGCAAGTCAGCATATTAGAATAATTTCTAAAGGATCATGTAACACTTAAGAGTAATGGCTTGTAAAAAGTTAGCTTTGACATCACATTAATAAATCACATTTTAAAATATATTAAAATATAAAACTTTTTAAAATTTTGATAATATTTCACAAAATTACCATTTTACTGTATTTTTAATAAAAAAAAATACAGGCTTGGTGAGCATAAGAGACTTCTTTTAAAGATGTTTTAAAAAATCTCTCATCCCAAACTTGTATTGGGGTAATTTGTTTAAAAATACAGACCAAATTAATACCAAAAGTTTCTGTTTTTCTTTAACTGATTATTTTTATAAATTATTTGTTTTATTAGGATCCCCCCAAAAACAACTAAAATGAATCAAAGATTTATGTTTGTCTTTCTCAATACCAACTCTCACCAATTTTAAACTCGATGGGTCCAAGACGTGGATCTTCTAAGATGTTTAACCGTCTCTTCTTTCTCCAGCAGCGTGCAGGATAGGTATAGAGCTGCCCTGGAGCCACACCTGGGTTAAAAAGAACCAGAGCCATGGTTTAAACATCCAAAACCTTGAGCTAACAACAAAATCACCAATGTAGTGTGATACACTGTACACATAAACACACCTGGCCCACGATGGGTCTTCTCCATCCATATGTAGCAGTTACTCTGTGCTACGCCTGTTTGGGAGTCAAGAAAGGGTAGGCGCATGGAGCGTTCAGCACAAAGTCGAGCATTATAACTGCGGCAGTGCTCGATGGCCTCGCGGTAAAACTCCTCACCAAGGCTGGAAACAATAAAAAAGGGGGAATGTCTAACAAGTATTTTTGATTTCAGTGCTCAAAAAACAATATTTATTATTTAAAGGCCCCATGAAATCGAAATTTGTGTTTAATCCATGTGTTTGAAGCCATCTATATGCTAGTGAACACTTAAACGTTGACAAAATTCATATTTTAGCACATATACATTCCAAAATTACCCTTTTTACCTCTTCTGGGAAATTAGAACAAAAAATATTGATGAGTCATGGTGCACTAAACAAAATTCTTTTCAAGTAACTTCAAGGGGTCTTTAAATTTTCATCCATCTATGCAGAGAACTCTTTGTACTGTCATGCAGGAGGTAAATAAAATTCTTGGCTGGCATTTAATTGGGAAATATAAATCTCATTTCCAGCTCTGTTAAAGACATACTGCATGTGCATTGGAATATACTGTACAGAATCTCACTCAAGGGTAAAGAGCTCAGGTGTTAGGTACTGCTGTTTAAAAACACTGCAGCATGAGAACAGTGGTGTGCATTAATGGTCCATGTGGCAAAGAAGAGCGCACTCAACAGTTCTGTCCTCAAGAGTATGTTTGCATGCTCGAAACTGGTCAGGACAAAAGTACCGAACAGTGATTTTATTGCTGAGGCTGCACTCAGCAAACTGCTGCATTTGTAAAACAATTTTAACATCAGGAAAACACTCATGAATAAGTCAGTAGCAACTGTTATATATTGCTTTACAGATTAGTAAATTTACATTCAAATTTGAATATATGAAAACATATGACTCGACGTTTAATGAGATTTGTTAAACTTTTGCAGGGGTGGATTGGAGGCTGCCTTGTGAAAAAGAAGTGCACTTGATTGAATCACATACTAAAAGTACTAGTGTACTTGAAATCTTAAAAGTTATTTAAAAAGAAAACAGTAATTGCGTATAATATTAATGAAACAAATGACCACTTAATTGTACTTAAAGAGAGTACACTTTCTAAAAAAGTGTGCTTTGTACATTAATAATTTCAAACGTTTTACTTTAAAGTACATTTTAATTCATTATGTTTTAATATTTTATTCGGGCAGTACATTTTATCCAGAATTCAAGGACAATAAAAGTAATTATGAAATTATATATAAAGATGTAAGTGGATCAAAAAACATTTTAAAGTTAAACTAATCGCATTTAATATAAATTTAAACTATAATACATTTCATTTCATTGCAATTAACATCCAATGAAGTGTCTGAAAACATGATATTCAGCTCACATGTTAAGTATGTTATTATTTCGATAATAATTACTCTTTTTAAAAGTATGCAAAAGTGTATTCTTCTTCGCAAAGTCTCCTTCACTGCAAACACAGTTATGTAGGAAACACTGCAGTTACAGAGTATAGCAATCATTATTTATCAGTGCAAAATGCCAACCGACCAATCAAAAGCAAGTATTTCAGAGTGAGTCATGTAATGTTTGGCAATGTCATAAATCAAAGTGGTATTGAATTTAGTCCAGATATTCTTTTGATTCTGCTCTAGTTTATTCAGTATTGAAGTTTTTCTGTATTTTCTCTCCCATTGTTAACACAAGGAAAGATCAAAAGTGCAGAAATAATTGGGAGATGCTTAAAAAGTCCTTACAATACTCTCCTTAACCCTGCACTCCCGCGGTTGCCTTTTCTTCTGTCCTTCTTTGTGCAAACTGGCTGAATAAACTCCCTTCTATGTTATAAGCTATTGTAAAAATTAGCCCTATGGAAGTACTGGTGAGTTTTGGGCAGAGGTGTAAAGAGTACCTAAAAACCATACTTGAGTAAAAGTACAGATACGTTTTGGGACACAGTCACTGGTTTCTGATGCGTCATCGTTTGTTTCATTGTAATCAAAAGCACCAGTCTGCAAACCGGAGTGAGAAATGAAGGAAAACTGCATCATGCAACAATGACCGCATCCCTGAAACAAGCCTGATAACAAATTGACAGAGGCTTGAGGTGATGTTGATGATGTAAGTGTAAAACCATTGTGATTGGTGAACTCATCCATTTCTCCTTGTGGGGGAATGATGAAGAGCCCTGTGGCTCAAGACTAACAACGTAGTCGGGCTGAAATAAATAACCCTCATTTCTCTAAACAAAATGGCGGCCAGAGCAAAACAACACATTTTCTACCTAATTTAGTCCATGTTTGATTTTGGGGGCCACATCCTGGTCATTCGGCGCGGGCTGGAATCAATCCTCAACATGTGGGTTGAAAATCACAAAGTGTGCAGGGGCAGTAAATTACAGTGCATCGAATGTCATGTGCTCAGGTCCACCAGAGGGGAAATATTAAGTCCTGTGGTGAAGTGCTGTGGGCTCCATTTAAACACCTCTACACTCAGCAGATACTCAGTCTGCGCTCAATCTCACACAATGGACCAGGCAATATCTAAAGGTCAGCGAGCGAGTGAAAAACAAAGTTTGGCGTCTCTGTGATTATGTGAGAAATTGTTCTTCAAAGAAAGTCCTTGTCAAATGAGCTTTCAAGACTTCTATTTTAGAGCAATTTCTGAAAGGCTTTCCGATTGGAGTTTGAATGTTTTAAACAGAATACTCTAAAATGGGCCTCTCCAACAGGCGAAAAGAGTTGCGCGCAAAACAGCAGTTCCCTCACCGACTTCCTGAATTGGTGAGATAAGGTGGCTTCTCTGTATGGCAAAACTTGTATTCATATCCCACGAGCACAATGAAAAAGTGATCAATTAGATCGGAAAAATACGAAGCCTTGCACATGACATGTGGAAGAAAAAAATAGATATTGTTGCCACAAATTAAGAATTTGTTCCCATGACTTATTGCTTTTTAATTTGTTCAGTTTATTTAAATGAACAGTTCACACAAAAATGAAAATTATGTCATCATTTACCCTTATGTCGTTTCAAACCTGTATGACTTTCTTTGTTCTGTGAGCACAAAAGAAGATATTTTGAAGAATGTTGGTAAACAAATAGTTTTGGATCCCATTGATTTCCATTATATTTTTTGAGTAAGTCAATGGAAACCAAAGCTGTTTGGTTACCAACACTTTTCAAGGTATCTTCTTTTTTATTATTATGAAGAAACAAAGTCATAGAGGTTGGATTTACATGAGGGTGAGTAAATGATGACAGAAATTTCATTTTTGGGTGGACTATTCCTCTAATTGGTTTTGTAGCCAAGTTGTAATTTAGTTCAACAGTGGCCACAATTAGTGATAGTTTTGTCCATGATTTAACTAAAGCAAGGAATTCTAAATTTGTGGCCACAATATCTTTAAAACTGTATCTTGAAAATAGATTTGCGAATACGTGAATGTCAAATGCATGCTGCATAGTCAACCCTGCCACAAGGGGCACTATAGCATGCATTAGCAAATATTATTAATTCATTTGTTACATTTATATAGCGCTTTTTTTGGTACTCAAAGCACTTTACATGTAAGGGGGGAATCTCCTCAACCACCATCAATGTGCAGCATCCACCCAATAGTAAATGTGACAGCATCTGTGCTTTGGGTATGATATGCACCAGTGAGGAGTAGGAAGATCTGTGCATTGGATTTAACAAGCATACCTGTTCTTTATGACAGTTCCACTTGATTGCCTAAGAAGAGAAGGAAAAGACAGAAACAGACATGAGCAGATGCAGACAATATCTGATTACAGGCTGTCTTACAAAATGGAAATATTTTGACTGTTTCTACTGTTTTTGCCCAAAGCAGCACTGGATCCCATTTAGAGCAAAGGAAACACAAAATTAGTTAATCAAACCTTATTACAAAATTCTGAAAACAGAATATGTTTATTATCTACTGACAAGGCTTTCGGAAGACTTTGGAACAGACACACTTGTGTTAATCGACCAAGCATGCCAATGGTGGTCTTAATAAGATGTATTTCCATTCAAACCATTATAAATTAACAGAAAAATTAATTATGAAGAACAGACAAATCCTCTTAACCGTGGTCAAGCAGTACATGTTTTTCCGATGCCAATATTTAAGAACAAGATGACCTACAGTAGAGCAATATAATGCTGATATATAGATAATACAATTTAAAGAGATAGTTCAACCAAAAAATGAAAATTCTCATGTCGTTCAAAACCTGTATTTCTTACCTTTTTTTCCGGTCGAACACAAATGGAAATATTTTGAAGAATGTTTCTACTGTTTTTGCCCAAAGCAACACTGGATCCCATTTACTTTCATTATATGAAAAAAATATTATATATTATAAAATCTTCTTATGAAGAAAAAAAGAAAGTCATACAGGTTTGGAACACCATGAGTAAATTACTGACTTTTCAATTTTGGATGAATTACCCCTTTAATCACAGCAAAGGAGATACAAAATTAAATAAACAGAATAATTACTCAAAAGTTTTTACAAAATTTTAAAAACAGAATATGTTTATTTTCTACTGACAAGGCTTTCGGAAGACTTTGGAACAGACACACTTCTGTTAATTGACCAAGCATGCCGATGGTGATAATTTCAAAAAGACCAAATACCAGCTGATTAATTGGCCTGGCTGATATCTGGGTCTGAAACTAGGATCTGGATACCTTGACTGTGTTTTCTGATTTGCCACACGAACAGCATGAGGCAGCAGCGTGCTGCAGTTTTACAGCTGAAAGGAAAAGCAGTTACAAGAATAGCAAACGGAAAACACGTTTTATTGCCTCTTTAACTACATTACCGAGAGATGCATTATTTGCAGTCATTGTATTCACGCTATACGAGAGCTCCAAAAACATTAGGTATCTTGGAAGAAGGCTGACAGAATGGAGAAATGGGTGAGGTTAGCTAATATAAGAAAAATCAATAAGAGGAAGCAAAAGCCTGAAGCAACCCAACCAGAGTTTGGCTTGTGTGCGGGCAGAGCCGGCCAGGAATGGCATCCACGGGGAAAAGTGTGTATGCCAGTGTGCCACGAGGAAGCGCTCTCACTTCTTTGTGTGTAAAACTATGCTTAGAGGAAGTGAAAGGTCAGAGAGTGTGTGTGTATGTGTGTTTATGTATGCGGTTGTGTGTGTGAATTCGATTTTAGCCTTCAGATAGTTGATGCTGAGTGTTATGATCTCACTTTGATCTAACTGACCAATGAGACAGCATAGCAGGAGGAAAAATGCACATAGTTTGGTGCCCATTTCTTAATCATACAATACATTTTGTACATGATATAATGGTACAGCAATACAGTGATGCTTGAATATGTACCATGGTAGCACCATTAATTTTTTTAACAACTCTACAGTTCAGAATGTGCAGATACTTTATTTATTGGTTAATCCAGTAAAAGATACACACATGTAGTTTTATGGTGGGCACTTTTCATCAATTTATTGTTCATATGTACATTATTATTATTATTATTATTTTAGGACATGATTTCTCTCTTAAGCCAATTTCCTTGTGGGAATGATGCCACTTAAAAAAAATAATAAACTTAGTAGTTGAAATATATATGAAATATGATATGTATGTGTGTGTGTATATATTCTATATATATTCTATATATATATATATGTATGTATCTTGAAATGTACATATATATATATATATATATATATATATATATCAACGTGTTTTTCTTTAATTGCTAGTCAAGTTAAAAATGTGATTAAACAGTTCACACGAGAGAGCAGCAAATGAGCTTTCGACATTTAAATAAACAGTTAAACATGTTTATTTAATTTGAAAAGTGATTTATTAATGTACTTTTCTATTAAATAATTTTATAAACTATAATTATAAAACTATAAAACATAACATAACAAATATCATATAATATTTGTAGTTGTATGTACATTTGTAATTATACAACAGTTTGTTCTGGTTCTCAAATCTGATTGGTTGAGAACCGTGAGATGACTGTTGACTTGTCACCACAAATTTGGCAAAACCTGACACACACAGACAGAATGCAAACAATTTCTTCCCAATAATTTAAATTAAAAGTGAGTGTCTGCGATGTAGACTTGGGCTCAGACTTGAAAGCCTTGGAAGGAAATGCGTAGCGAAAAAGACACAAATGCAAAGCAACTCACCCCTGAGGTTCAACCCGATGCCCCCTCCCCCCTCTGCCTCTTTCTAGTCTGAGCACAGAGCCGTCAAGCCCCCTTCTCCATTCCATCACCTCACTCCTGTGTGTGCTGCTAGTGGAACAAGTCTGGCTTTCAGTAAAAAGTTGACAGCTGTAGAAAATGGCCGCTCTCAGTTTGTTTGCTTTTTTTTTTTTACACAATCTCATTATATTATACTGTGGCGGTGGCCTTGAAAGCTGTGAAACGTGTCTTGCTGGAAGACGAGAGAAAGCCGGCCAAATGGAATGCAGTTCTCTGTGTAATTTAATCACAGCTCCTCGTATCAGAGGTGACCAATGTTCGATTGTGGATGACCACCTATGGATTTCTTTAATAGAAGCGAGGGTCCATGTTTATTGTGAGGGAGAATTTGGACAAAACCTTTCAGGCCAGACTTTAATTTGTCAGCATCGGTGACAAATGGAGCACAGATCTAATCAGATACATCTGAGGCAATTACTCTTGTATTTTCATTACATTTGAGTTTGGTGCACAGTGTTGCTATATTGGCAGCATATATCAAAGCAAAGGCTAATGAAAGAAAGCATCTAAATTATAATCTACTTTCTTAGAGCTATTTTTAGTAGAAGCTGCCCACTTAAGAGCCCTTTTTTGCATCTAAAGCATTTAAAGAGAACTGTCAACATGTAAAATCCTGTAATAAAATGTGTTCGGCACTGATAACGCATACTTGATACGATATGAATGCATGCATGTAATAACCACTTACAATTTACACAAAGCCAGGCTGACACACACACACTAGCTAAACAAAGGAAAACAAGAACCTCAAGAGTAGGATGCCTTTTCCCTAAACCATAAGAGAAAGAAAAAAAAGATGATTGGAGAGGAGCGCATAGCTTCCAGCATCCACACTGTCACTCCTGTGCAAAGCTCAGACCCTAAAAAATAGAACAACCTCCAAAATTAGCTCTTCTTCTGTAGCCTATTTAACTGAAACCAGTGTGGAGGCAGAGGGAGATGTTGTCCAAATCTGTCTTAAAACGTATTGGTGTATTCCTCATTATACTCACTACACCACCAGAAAACTCCCTACAGTGCCAATTAGTCTTAATTAACGGTTGTCCTTTTGAAAAGTAACAGAGAGCTCCCTCTAGAGGCTGCACTGTGTCAGTAAAATACCAAACTGCTGTTGAAGAGACCAGAGATCTCTCAAGTTATTGAATGCAAACACACACACAAGCTTGAAAAATCAACCACGATATATTAATTTTAACACAACTTAGTAACAAGCAATTATATATAGTGAAACTATCATATGCAATATTCTTTTATGGATTAAAAACGATGTATACTCCAGAGTCACAGAAAAAAAAGTTTAACACCATCATTTTTATACTAACAATATGTTTCAAAGATACAAAAGAGCTCAAAACACCTGTATTTTGTTTATTATAAAGTATTTAAATATTTGTATTACTTTTTCAACAATTGGTCAGTGAAAGTAGGTGCTTAACCATATCTTCTAAAAATAAACATTAAACTTAAACTTCCCATTAATTTGAGAAACCATGTTTGTTTGATCATTTTTGCTTAAAATCATTTGCACAACAGGCCTGAGCTTGTCGAATGTAGTCAATTGCAATTTGTGTAAATATTGAAAAAATGAGATTATTTACTGTAAAAAAAAAAAAGATCTTACATTAATATTAAAGAGTTTATCATTTCTTGTAACAAGGAATAGATTATACTTAAAGCAGCATGCAAAATATTTTGTTTTGTACTTAAATTATTTTTGTGTCATAAAATTTGTAATAATTTTATTATTAAATTAGTCATTTTATTACAAAGAACTGAATATCAAGTCAACACGTTATGCTACAACTATGACATTTTTATTGATTTTAATTGTTGGACATAACGTGTTCGAGACAGCTGACATGGAACGGAAAAATAATTTTAAAGACATTTGATGTGTTAGCTAGTTCTTTCATATTAGGTTAATTTTATGTCAGATAATAGTTTATCTAACATGTACAGTATAATAGTTCTTAAAAACATAGGATTTGGGACTTTAAAGCTTGTTTAAAAAGTCATAAAGTGCACTGTCTTCATGAAATGTGACAGATAACAATTTAAATCTGCTATCTTTACATAAGCGTAAACTCTACAAAAAAAAAAAAAAAACTGCAGCAGTACCAGATGGTAGTACCATAGACTGAATGATTTCCATATTCAAACCAGCAGTCCGGGGTACTTCAAAAAGTATGGTACTTCTTTATAAGTGGATCTTAGCGTCACATGTGGGTGTAAAGTACTTGTAACCATGTTGAATTTCTGTGGCTGGAGCCACTAATGGTGGAGGTTGACTAATATGTTTATGTGGCCCACGGTATTTCCATGAGCTTAGGACTGTTAAGAGAGGATATTGGCACGCCCATCCCCCACTAGTACTGTAGATTACACTTCGCAATAGCAACCTCCTCGAGCACCTCTCCCTTTTCGTCATCCGCCCCGCTACCCCTCCCTCTTCTTTTTCACTAGACTACCCAGT